CTGGTAGGCTTCTCTGCAGGCGGTCGTGGGCAGATGTGTTATCTGCTGGCTTCTCTTGCGGGTTAATGCGAAATAAACTGTAATGCATTTAACTTTTGCTGGATAACTTTAGAGGAGACTGCTGTTGACCAGATGACTCTAAAACTGTCAAAAATGAGAACATGATAATAATTAAAGGTTACAAAAATTACTCAGTGGTATGTCTGCTGTTTTAGTTCAGTTGGTTTTGACTTAGATTATAAATATAAAAGATTGCGCATGTAGACAAAAAGAATGTTACTTGGAGCACGTGACAAAGAAAGAACAAAGGATGCGGATAAAACAATAAAATGGAAAATGGCAAAAAGCAATGACTAAGAGCAGTTGCTAAGAGTGGTTGCTAAGAGCTTAGAGCTAAGAGCGAGAGTTGATGACTTAGAGCCAATAACTTAGAGCCCTGGCTAAAAGCTAGGGGCTAAGAGCAATTTGTGAAATGATCATAACTGCTTTATCCCCTGGTTGCACACATTTCAGGGGCGGCACCCATCTTTTCCTTTTGTTCAACTTCGAGAAGAGAGTAATTTTCCACTGAACTTTTAAATTGTTTAATTCTAGAGTTTACCTATAAATCTCACACATCCGTCTTCCACCATTACCATAAAACATTAAATGAAACAACATTTAAACCTAATCAGTGTTGTGCATGAACGCATGAACATGACATTCATATTTTTTGTAAATGCTGAACTGAACGAATCAGTTTACAAATGATAAACGTGAACGTGAGGGGCGCCGCTCACGACAGTAAGCTTATGACAGTTTTACGGCATGTCGCATGACGTCTACATAAACACAGCCCAGCATGGCTGGTGCTGGCAGTACAGACGGTTTTAAATGTAAATCATGTCTCTGAAAAAAAAAAAAGAACCATGAACATGAACTAGTTCATTTTCATCTGTATGAACTGAACTTTGAACTAGTTCTTTTAAGTGCGAACTGGCACACTGAACCTAATGCTACTAATAATGATGGACAAGAATAATACAAAGGTTGATTTCATATTGTGTGAAGGATGCTGACAGTATGGTCACAAGAAAGATATTGTCTTGAAACCTATATGTTGTATTTCTGCAATTCTAGAGGATAGACTGGGAAGTTATTGCATCGAAGCATCACATGCTTTACAGAACAGTTAGTTATTTGATTTCATATTCTTCCTCAGATCTTTCTGTGAAGAATGTTCTGCAGGTCACTCAGGAATGGAATGTGGTTTGTAATTTATAACTCTTATCTAAAGAGGGACAGAGTGAAAGGTACAGAGAGTCTATGATTCACACCTTTAGTGATAATCAATCCTTTTGGTGTTACTTTTCTATATAAGAACCAAACAAATATACACTCATGCTCATCCAGGATTTCATAATTGGGCATATGCTTCCTGACATAGTCTCAAATTTGTAAATTTCAGAAAAAAATGGATGCAGGGATACTGTAAACAACTCGTAACGGTGCAAATGAGGCAAAGTTATGTAAGTCACCGACATACCTTTCTGCTTCCAAGTACAAAAAACAATATCATTCAGGCCAGGTAAACAGGGATGATTTAAAGTTAAGTTTTTAGACTGAAAAACTCAATTTGTTTTTTACTAAAATTTTTCAACTTAATCAAAGTATGAAACAACAGCACGTTTTTCTTAACATCCTTCTTTTTTTCTACATGAGCACCTCTAGAACAAAAGGTTAGGAATTTCATATTTTTGGATATACACATATTTTGGATTCTTGCAATAAAGATTTAAAAATAAAAATGATAATCTTGTTTTTTTTTCAGATTTTTGTAGCTGGGCAGACATGAAGCAAAATTCCCTGCTCAAGTCATACCAGAGCTGTGTCAAGTACAAGCTACGTGTTTCAGACCATTAGGTCTTAATGGAGTTCAAAACAAAATGTAAAGTACATTTCTTTTGACCTGACCTTTTGATTCATGTTTTCCTACACATCTCAGTAATAATGACTTCATGAGCTTCTTTAATGACACAATTCTAACTATTAGAAACAGTTTCACCAATTCATCACTTCCTGCCCTTGATTGCCACTGATTTATCTTCAAACATAGGAACCTTACAAACAGATGTAAAATCTGATGTATACTTTCTCCACTAACTAACCTCCACCAACTAACTTAAATGATTTCTTCATCCAGACATTCAACCTGTCTATTAGACCTGATCCCAAGTAGGCTGCTTAAGGTTAAGTTTTACCCTTAGTTAGCACTTCTTTACTAGATATGATCAGTTTTTCTTAACAGGCTATGTACTTCAGTACTTTAGAGTGGCTGTAATTATACAGATTCTTAACCATCAAATCCTATTACAGAGACAGAGACATTTAATTGGTGTTTAAGGAACCACACAAAGCTGGTTTAAGTCCTATTTATCAGATTGATTTAAGTTTGTACACATTAACGATAAATTCTCCATGCATACAAGAATTAGTCATAGAGTTTCACAGGGTTCTGTGCTTGGACCAGTTTTATTCACCTTATTAAAGCTTCCTTTAGGAAATATTATTAGTAAACACTCCATAAACTTGCATTATTATGCAGACAATACCCAACTATATTTAACAGTGAAGCCCAATGAAATTTATCAGTTGGTTAACACTAGAACCGCCAAGATGGTCTGACGGACCGTCTGAGTTTTTATTATGTAAATAACTTTGTTTAAATAAAATCTACAGGTCTCTCACTCCATGACTTTTCCTAAATATATGTTTTTGATGTTTTCTGAAGCATAGAAGGTATTAAAATAAAAAACAAAAGATTTTGCAGAGTGAGCAGAGTTGATAGAGTAGCGTGAGTATCTGAGAGTAGATAGCTGGACTGCGCCGTGAACTAGGTCTAACGACTCTATTTTGGGAAATGGCGGAGGCACAGACACGACCAAAGAAAAGACGTTTGGATGAATATATGGCGAGGAGGAGAGAAATGGAGAAGGAACGAATGAAGACCTGCATATAAATGTTGGGGAATCGATTCAAAGGTGGCGAGAATTCTGCCGGCAGAAGGGCTTCCAGTCCGATGCACAGGTGGCTAAGTTCTTACTGGACAGGTAAGTAAAGTCAAGATTGGTTGTTGTAAATGCATGCTCACTTGAGCCCTCGTGCCAATAAAAAGTAATTCTTTTCCAAAGCTATCCCGTGAGAGCGAACCTACAAAGTTGTACTCAAGCTAGGTTACTTGCAGCTAACAGCTAGCTTTGAAGTGCATCCAACAAACTCGTAATGGCACTTGTTTTACGAGTTGATTCTGCTAATACTCTGCAGGTGTAGTATTTCAATGGTCATAAACGTAATCCTTTTTGCAACTTCAACTGGAATGGTTTTTGGACAGAGTAGATAATTTATTCTACTCTCGGAGGCAGGGATGTATGACGCACTCCGAATAATCAGATGAATTACAAATCGTTTGTAGTGACTACCTAGACTTGCCTTGAGGATTACCTAGTCCAGCACTTGCTAACCTACAGTTTTGCTCGAGGATGTCATTTTCTAAACATCATCTCAATTGTTTTACCGCGACAGCTATGCCATGTAAGGCTGGGACCAGTAAGCCCTCCATGCCACAATTATCAAGCATCGGATCTCTGGGGTCTTTGTCTGGGCAGTGAGATTGTTTGTCATTGATTTCTGTTTTCATTTTTATTGGTAGACAGACTCATTGTGATTGTCTGAACATTTTCTATTGTTGCATTGTTCTGGTGGTGGTCGTGTGGGTATAGAGAGGACTTTTCTATAGAAGGAGTGAGGCATATGGACAGCAGGACCATGTCTGCACTGGAAATTGAGGGCAGGTGTGTACAATGACCCTTTCACCACTGTATGTCAACCTTCAAGAGAATTCCTCATTATACATTCATACATGCATTATAATGATGTTGTGTTTTACAGTAATTTTATTGCACATCTAGGACATTTTCACCTTATAGTTTTTTTTTATTGTTTTTATTTAAATTCTCTTCAGAATCAGCAGCTACGACACAAGGCCAGCTGATTTTCCAAGCAACAGGAGTCACAGCAGAGTTAGCGTGGAACAGCTAACTCTGTGAGGAGAACAAAGGAGATAACAGCAAAGCAACACAGCCAGACAGGACTTTACTCCACCAGGAAGCCTCCCAACTCACTGGACTTTACTACAACACTGGAAAGGACCTCTTTGTTTGTTCCAAGGACTGGATAACGTTATATATGTTAATATGTGCATTAACTTGTGACCCTATGGGTGGGTGGGTGGTATTATAGCAATGTTTTTGATGATAATGCACTTTTGTATTTGGGGGATGGTTGGGTTGTTATGTCTTGTACACTTCTCTATGTGGAAACACTTTGAAAACCAATAAAACATATTTTCTAATAACAATTTAAAAAAAGTCTTCAGACCAATTTGGACACGGCAGCTGAGACAGGCAATTATCCCACAGGATCATCTTTGGCTCCTGCTAAAGGATATTGCCATTATTGTTAAAAAAAATAGACTCTCACCTAAAAAGGGCATCAAAGTATTGAGTGTGGTCCCCAGTGATTTAACACTTACTTCATGAAGTCTCATGTTATCATTCTAAGGGAATCTGTATTTCAAAAGGAGCTAGGCCATTGTTTCTGGTTCCTCATAAAGACTCTCGTTGTGTAGGGTTTCACTAACTCTTTTGTACAGGGAGTTCTATGGACCATACCTTCAAGGTATGGTCCATAGAACTCCCTCTACAAAACAATTGTTCCCATACAGTGAAGTTAAGATGGACACACCAAACTACACTGACCTTGTTTCTATCCAATCCTAAGAAAGAGTCATAGCTATATATAAGAATCTCATACAGCTCTATGGAGATAGGCAGAGACACAAAGACAGTGAGACAGTTAAAGTGGGTGCCAAGTAAGGTAAAAACAATAACTACAATACAGAAATTTAAGGTTCTTCTTTATATTTTGCTATTACAGGTATGTCCATACCAAGAGAGGCAAAAATGAACGTTCTTAGCTTCCTCTTCCTGGTATCCATGGTGGCCAAAAGCAGTCAATTAACATGCCAAAATGACCTTCGACGTCCAGGTAGGTACGCCTGCTTCAGCTTTTTCTGATGTGTATATGTTATGTCTCATCTCTCTATGGAGGTCATGAAAAGACATTTTCTGTATGTTCTACTCTTTGGTTAATGAGAAGCATATTATTTTGACAACCTCTAGATGAATGCAATTTTGCCACAAATGTAAACAACAAAGCAGGAAAATTAAAATAGCAGATTTAGAGTTGGAATTTAGCTTTTTTTCCTTTCAGACATGAAATTAGTTTTTAACTGATCAAGATTTCAAGTGACATTTGCAGAGAAAGCCTGGTGATGTACCCGTCCCTCTCTTACAGAACACACTGACATTTCAGTTGAATGTGGCACATCCTCGATTAGCCTGGCTATTCTAATCTGCCCTGTTGTCTACACTGGCTACAACGAGTCTCTTCTCATCCTCAACCACATATTCAACAAGCCGGAGTGTCAAGGAACCTTGGATGAATCTTCTAACCTGCCTGTTGTCAGGTTCACCTTCCCCATCAACATGACCAATGCTTGCGGCAGCACCTTCCTGGTTAGTAGAGGATGGTGGGATAACCATATGTTTTCTCAAAGCATCCTCTCTTTTTTTCTCTGTGCTTGACTCTACTGTAAATGTTGCCTCCAGACCACCAGTGCAGCTGGCACAGGGATCTTTGCTGACTTCTCCAACATCCAGACGGTTAATATCAGTGGTGTGGTGCACTCCCATGATCCAACTACGGGAATAGTTACCTATAACGCTGAGCTCAAATATTATTATTCCTGTGCTTACCCTCTGGAGTATCTCATCAACAACACCCAGGTGGAAGTGTAAGATCCCTGCTTGTATCCATCCAGTGACTTATTCTGTTTACTGTATATAACTGGAAATGTTGTTAGATGGGGACTCAGACTGTGTCTTTGACCATTCTGGTGGTGAGTGTTCTATGAAAGTTGTGCTTCATAAAGTTATAAATTGGTTTTTGAGAGATTTTACAATTTTTCCTAATCAAAAACAAAAGTAGGCAAATACATTGATAGTCTTTTTCCTCTTGAAGTGTGGTTATTGTGATATCAGCCTAGTTTGGCTTACCACTCCTCTAAAAATAAGGGAAGTTGCTTATTTTACTATTAGCAAAGAAAATTGATTATAACAAAATTCTGACCCTATTTTATTTACATGTACACACCACAGCATACAGTAGCAGCAATGTCTCTAAATTTTTTGGAAAAACATTAACATTAATTTTTAAGTCATTTTCTCTGCTTTTGTGAGGAATTGAAAAAACCAACAGTTCAACATAAAACATAAACAAGCCAAACTGTTCGGATGTGTTTAGCTTCTGTCCTCATCACAGTCTCTCAGTAAATAAGATTGGGTTTTCAAACTGAGAGTAGCTTATTCTCCTGTGTTGGTGGAAATAATCCTGTGGTGTACAGTGACATGTAGGATACAGTCAAATGTCTTTCATCCAGTTAATTCCACCCTGTTTAGGTCAGCATCTTCCATTGCAGTGAGGGACAACAATGGAAGCTTCATCAGTACTTTGAGCATGGAACTCTTCAGTGTAAGTGCAGACTAGATGTTTCATAGTGAGGTCTGTTCTTCTAACACAGCTTTGATTCATTGTTGTTGTAGTCAAGCTACAATTTCTTAGTGTAACTGATTATGTCAACATTTAGTAAGTTGTATTTCTTGTTGCCTCACATCCACATGATCCAGTTTGTTTTGTTACTGACATTAAATAAAGTGGAATTCATGTTAATCTATAACATAAAGTGCAAAAGACATATATTTTATTTTATACTATTCGGTTCAGATGAATTCAATTCATTGTAGTTCAGATCAAGTAAATTCTGTATTAAAACACAGCAAACACCACATCACATACCAAACAAACCAGAATCTGCCAATAAAGACAAACAAGCCTCCCAAAAACAAACTGTAAAATGTGGTTAATAACGAGAAGTTACACCTAACTATACATTTCTGTTGTCAGGATGTCAATTTCACCACTCCTCTGGTCATACCACAGCTGGGATTAGAGCTGAGGACCAATGTCTATGTCCAGGTCCAAGCAGCCAACCTGACTGCTCAGTAAGAGCCTGCTCACAAATTTCATGCAACACATTATTGAATCTCACATTTTCCTGCTCCTGGAACAAAATGAAACTACACAGAATTAGTAGATGGTCTTAAATGTCTTATCAGAAGAAAAACAAGTACATTAATACCATTGCTCTTCTCCCACCAGGTACCACGTCCTCATGGACAGATGCTATGCCTCCATCTCTCCTCAACCCGCAAACTCCACTTTCTTCAACCTTTTTGTCTCGTAAGTCATCAAATCTCAGTGTAGAGGAAAGTGGATCTCTGTGTTAGGCCAACCCTTTTTTTGATATCAAACAGGTGTTCTAAGGACCAGATGACCACCATGCATGAGAATGGGGACAGTCACCACGCCCGCTTCTCCTTCCCGGCCTTCAGGTTCGTTGAACAGCAGAACCAGACGATGTCCACTTATTACCTTCACTGTATCACCAGGCTCTGTGAGATCAGCACCTGCAATGATTTTAAAGTGAGTCAAAGATCATTAATGTAAAAATGCATTCAGCCCATTTTACCCCTTAATACTGTAAATTCTTAAGTTATCAGTTACATTATTTCTTGCACAATCTACAGCAATGTAACAACAGGAGGAGAAGGGACGTTCGTTCCACTGGTGTTTCAGAGGCTACTACCCTCTCCTCTGTGGTTCCCATTGTCACCAGGAATGAGAATTGTAAGTCAGCAAATCAATAAAATTAAAAATAAAAAGATAGTTTTACATACCAACAGTTAATATCAATGCACAGTTATGTACAGTCTACAACACTGGGCTTCACTGTCAATCCAGACTTCTTAAGTCATATATATATATATATATATATATA